CATTTATGGTTGGTGGCACCATCGCCTAGTCTGGGCAGTATCACAGCCCAAACCACCTAGGAGGCCAAGCCTTAAGTGGTTCCACCATCAGCTCCGGTGGTGCCATCGCCTAACGTGGCTTCGGGTCATTGAATGAGCATTTCTCTTAGTCCAAAATAGCCCCACTTTGGGCCTAGTTGATCCTTAATTGAGTTGGCATGGTTACACATAAAACCAACTTAATTATCCCTCTAAACTACTTCGATCTTGATAAATTATTATAAGAAAGAATACTAAGTTATCCGGCATGTCATTGGTTCATCCGGTGCTTCATCCAAACTTTCGGCGTATTGTTATCTCTTGTGGCGTATTGCTTAATTGACATGTTGACCTCTACAACACCCGATCTCCTTGGCGTAATGTTTGATCCTTTTGGCCCAATGCTTGACTTCATGGCACGAAGCCTTTTGCTGACACGTCGATCTTCCTCCGGTCCGACGTCCAATCTTCTGATATGTTCCATTTCGACCCAACTTCTGATCTACTTCTTTAATCGATTTATCTTTCCTGATCGAAGCTAGTCCTACGTCACTTAAACACACATTAGATCATAACTTTATCAATTGGTTTCATCATCAAAATCTGAGATTCAACAAACAATATGATTGATATAGCCCGAGGTATACTTATATGATGATAACATGACCGATATAGCTTGAGGCACTTGTCTACAATGATAGCATGGTGGGAATAACCTAATATGCCCTTATCAAGATAAAGCATCTAAAAGCATCCGATGCTCCCTTCTTGAGGTGAGCATCTTAACAACATCTAGCACACCCCTCTTAAGGTAAGCATCCAACAATCATCCAAGGCACCACTCATGAGACAATTACCACCTCAACAAGCCCTTGAGAAAACCTTCTCGGCCAGTGCTCGAGGCAATGACCTCAGCGAGTGCTCGAGATGTCTCCCTTAGGCTAGGCATTAAGGTATGCCTAAAACATATTTCTTAGGCTAAGCATGAAAATACCACCAAGATATGTCCCTTGACTAGCACTTGAGGCGACAACCTCCTCAAACAGTATTCAAGGTGACCTCCTTGACTAACACCAAGGCGCGTAGATCTGCAAGCGCCAAGGTGCTGCAAACCACTACGACAATGAGCAAAAGAGGAGCCTACCTCGACGACAACGAGCGAAAGAGGAGCTCGCCTTGGGTCCTCCCATAGACAACCTCGAAATGAGCAAAAGAGGAGGGGCAGGTTTGGCAACATGGGAAGGTTGGGCGGAGGCATCACTGACCACCTTGACGATGAGCGAAAGAGGAGCCTGCCTCGGCTCCTCCCACAACCCACCTCGATGTTGTTTAGACCGAAATCGAGGAGGGGGGGGGGGGGGGGGGGAGGGGGTGTGGTGAATTAGTGTTTACGATAAAATCACGTCGGTTTAAAAATTCTTATTCGATGAAAATCGATCGAAAAGATGTTAACTTGAAAATACGTTCGTAAGCATAGTGAAAGTAAGAAATTAGTTTGCAATGTAAGAATGAAAAGCAAAAAAAATACAAACTATTATCAGTGTTTAACTCCTTGATGATAGGTAATTGATGTAAGTTTAATTATTCGATGCAGAAACGATTATGGTCACATAGAAGTAATCTATTACAATATTATTGGATTAACTTTCATAACTATTTTCAACATTGTCACTAAAAAGATTGAAGCAGGACATTTCGTCCATTCTGATTTCATTAGTGATAGGTGAAATATTTGCTCTAATATGGATATGGGCATTGCATTTGGTGACTCAGCCCAAGTTAAAGCTATTATAAAATATCGATCAGGTCATAGAAACAAAGGTCAGTGACTATTCATCAAGATTACTCCACCATTATTAGTAACTAACTTAATCATCAAAGAGATCGGATCAAGAAACCACTCAACATTGGTTTTTGTACATGTAGATTTTGGAGTGCACATCCGAGAAGCCCACCTGACCTCTTGCTCACATGGGCCCTAATTGCGGGCTAATAGAGATGTCATCGATATCTTTCATCATCATTTTACTACTAGAAGGAGAGTGTCATGTCGCTTTCCTTCTATATACCTGTCCATACGAGGTAACCGGACAGATTGGTGTATTATATATATATCCATATGATGGAGGTAGCTGGTGTCTTAGCTGCTTATGTATGGACACTAGTGATATAGTATAGATGCTTATTAGAGAATGAGTTCACTGAATAATCCGCTTATAGAATGTTGGATGATTAATGATATCTTATCGTCAAACAGTAATTTCGTAGTCCTAGTTATGTATTTGGTTCTTAGACTTGAGACATTAATGACGCCTTATTTGAGTACTTCATTCTTTGATACCGAACTTATAGGCTTGGAGGTTTCAGATCTAGTATAAACGATAATTGGAAATGATAACCAACCATACAAAGGTAATTGAGTGTCAATAAAGGATTATTCACTTTCAATATCATAAGAGGAATATCCAGTGTGCTCTCATTAAGGAAATCTCTAGCCAGGATCAATCAGATTGAGAGAATCTAATAAGAGCGAGACTCAAATTAAGAGAAAATGAGTTCTCCGGGAGAATCCAATAAAAGTGAGACTCGGATCGATTTCACATGGACTTGATAATACCATACTTGGTATATGATCTATATGATATTAGATATATGAGGGATTATAGATACACAGTAAGTAAGAGCAAACATGTCTAATGGATTAGATCCCCTTGTACCATTTGGGGACTATGACATAGTAGTCTAGTACGTCCATAGTCAATGAGTTGAGTGAAATAATATAGAGATAATAATTCATTGAGTTATAAGGAGTTATAAGTCAAAAGGAGTTCTGATAAGTACAACTCACGACTAACTCAGTATTGGGCCTCGAGAGTCACACACATATGGTGGACAACGCGATGAATAAAAGATTGGATATATGATATCCAATAAGCCCTTGTATTAATGGATCAATTCGGTGTGACCCAATAGAGCTTACAGTGGTTATTGGATAAGGATCTAATACTCATTAAGGCAGATCCATTATGGGTAGCAACATGAGCCCTCTATGGATAGGAGTTGGGGCTTCATGAGTCATAGGCTAAACACTATAGCCACCGGCCACCTATCTCCTCCTTCTCATCTCTCCTTCAACCGTGAGCCTCTCCCTAGTGTGAGAGGAAAACAAGAGGGCCACCTCCTCTCTTGTTTACTATTGCATGGTGATGCACGATCACGAGGAGAGAATTCGCTATGTGAGGAGGTGCGTCGTCGCTGCGTTTGCGTTTGCTATGTAGATCACTACTAAAGAGGAGTTTATGAGAGCTCTTTCATCCATGGACTAAGATATATGATTTAGGAGATATATAATCTCCTGAGAACGTCTCAACCACATGGTATGGTTTTTTATCGTTTTGAGTTTTTTTGCTCTCGATTATCACACAACGATTCGATATCCTTTTTTTAAGAACTGGTTTTCATTTTTATTTTTCACTGAACGTATGATGCTTTCTAAGATTTTCTAATAAACTCAACATATGTGAATAGAAATCTACCATAGTGGGGATGCAAGGCCCAATGTGCTCGAGCCACGTGAGTAGGGAAAATCCATCTCGTGTGAAGAGAAATCCACCATGACACAAACACAAGGCCTAATGTGCCTGAGGCATGTGAGTTGAGAAAACCCAACCTACATGAAGAGAAAATCCGTCATAATGGAGGCACAAGACCTAATGTGCTCGAGGCATATGAGTTGGTAAAACCTGACACGCGTGAAGGGAAATCTGTCATGATGGAAGGCACAAGGCAAAATATGCCTGAGGCACGTGGGTTAGGAAAATTTAATTCGTACGAAAAATCTACTACAATAAAAGCGTAGGGCAAAATGCGCTCGAAACATATAGGTCAAAAAATTCGAACTCGTATGAGAAAAAGTCTACCATGGTGGAAGCGTAAGGCAAATATGCTTGATGCATGTGAGTCGAAAAAACCCGACCCGCAAGAGGAGATCCCGAATGCTCTTATGTCGGATAAACTAAATGTCACGCTTTGTGCTTCTCTCGCAAGAGCCTCGAAGCACATCTTTGGGGGGGGGGGAGGGACAAATGATAGGGAATACATTATCGACTAATCAGCATCCAACATATAACTACCACATGGAGTCTAGATTACCTTCTATTTATCCACCCGTGTGAACAAGAGGCCAAATAATATTCCAAGAAGTATTCCCTTCCCTTGTCATAGAATACTCCACGAAATATTATGTCCCCTTGCGACTAGATATAAAAATATATCTTTAACACAATGAGAAAGGGAATGACCTTTTTCGACTACTCACATATGTACTTAGAGATCTAGAATTACTAACTTGAGTGTCGGAAGGATCAGATTCGAAAATCTTAATCTCGGTCTTGGTGCAAGTGGCACCTTGGGAACTCAATATTTCTAAGACACCTCAAACAATCCTGCACATACAGGTTCAAACTACATTGGTCTAACCAGGACGTGTTATTTTTCCTCATCAATCTCCATTCTCAAATATATTATCATGTGATCTAGTGAATTTATTAAGATTTTTCTTGACAAGATATATATTTATATATTTTTTATTAATTTAATACTAATTCTTACGGATCAATAAAATACTTATGATTTGATATACAATAAAATTTTAATCCTTTCTGTACAAATATACATTGTAGAGAATCTCTCCAAATGTGGCATGACGTCCATTTCGTCGAGAGTAACAGTTACACTCACTTCCAAGCGACAAAAACATGTGTTGCAGAGAATCTCTACGGCCAAGATTACAGAGGCTTCACGTCGCATACCGTATAATTCCCGATCATATACGGACAATACAGCAACATTTGTTAGTGCTGTTGAGACTTTTGAAGGCCGTCCGTCCGATTGCAGAGTACCATTTGAGCCTTCTTAATGGGCCTAACACAGCTGTTTTGGGCCCAATTTGATCATTTCACTGGTTGCAGTGGTAGTGGAAGTTTTGGGATCGCGATATAAAGTGGGGATTTAGGGTTCCACGCGGCATTCCGAACTCCGCCGTCTCACGCCGCGCTCAGAGAGGCCGACGGGAGTCTTCACCGCTGCCTCAAACTTGTCTGGTTTGATAGTTCGATCCTGATCTAAACCCTCGATCCCTCCTATCTCTGAAACCCTCTTTTTTTTTTCCCTCATGTTTTGAGCGATTCGATCTTAGATGTAGTCTCAGGTCGTTGATTCGATCATGTGGGTTTCCTGTGAGGAGTGGTTTCTCTGTCCTTTTTCTTTTTCCGAATTCTTTGATGCGCTATCTTAGATATCCGTCGCTTGTCAAGATCTTTTGAACGGTCTAGGGTTTTGATTGTCGCTACTCATCGTCCTTCGAGGTTTCGAAGTGAGAACCTTTAGTCGGTTGTGTTTGCACGTTTGTGGTGTTGTGGCGTTTTCATCTGTTCTTTTTTATTGTTTCTGACATTTTTGTTTGGAGAAACCTCAGTTGATGTTCTTCCTTTCAGTGTTTGTATCCTTATATTGAAGGATTTCATTTCTTGGTTTCGGTTAGCTATCTCAACTTTGGCTCTTTTAATTGGATGCTTGGTGAATCTTCGCAGTAGAAATGGCTACTGTCCCTGGCCCGCTCATCTGGGAGATCGTGAAGAAAAACAATGCATTCCTTGTGAAGCAATTCGGCAATAGCACTGCCATGGTGCAGTTCAGCAAGGAGCCTAACAATCTCTATAATGTCAATTCCTACAAGCACTCTGGTGAGAATTTTTGGGTTCCTTCTTGGCCCATCATTTTTTTAAGCATGTGAGCTGCACTTACTTGGTGTTTATTTGCTGATTGAAAATTTACAGGATTGGCAAACAAGAAGTCGATGACCATTCAGCCCAGTGGGAAGGACCTCTCAGTTGTTCTTGCAACAGCCAAGACAAAGAAGCAGAACAAACCTGGTAGCTTATATCACAGATCAGTCATGAAGAAGGAGTTCCGTAAGATGGCAAAAGTTGTTATGAATCAGGTATCAGCTCCATCAAATTTGTGAAATCTCAACATTTTATTATAATGCTCTCTGGCTCTGGCACATCCTTGTTGTGTTATCTGATAGACTAACATTTCTATGTGCCTTTCTTGTGTTGACTTTTAGGTAACAATTTTACTATGAGCTGAAGTTGAGGTTTCAAGGAAGTATTATAGCTTAGTTGGTAGAGTAAAATTTTGTTTATGATAAATTTATATATTTCTTGATGTAGTCTCTTCCTCTTAGCACAATAAAAGTAAATCTATTAAGATTTATTCTCAATACATAATTGTTGGTTTTATATCACTAAGCATGCCTAATAAGTTACAGTGATGAAGGAAAAAATAAGTCAAATAAACCTAGATACCATGTTTGTAATTATACTGATGCAGTTCGCTAGCATGTGTTTATGTTATATTGTACTTGTAGAATTGGCCGACACCGCTATCGTATGCGTGATCCAAATTGGTATTGTCCATGGGCATTCTGATTTTTGCTGATTCTGAGATATGTCTAGAAATGGGGTCAGATTGACTAGAGTCAATCAAGCTTGACTGAGTTGGACCAGTTTTGGTTAATTTTGTGGTAGCCTCAAACTAAAAAAAAAAATATGTGAGAGGGGAAGGAGAAGAAGTAAACCGATACGGCTGTCCGGCGAAAAAAGAAACATGTGACTTCTTTTACTTTTGCTATTTCTTTAATCATTGTATGTGCGTTGTCACTGTTGTTGCATAATTTGATTTCACCATTATATGTGATAAAGAGGAAATTATTATACAAACTTATTTTTGTAAACATTTTTCTTATGTGTCAATTTCATTTGTTATCTCCTTTTTATAGTTATTTTTCTTATGAAAATATAATGGTAATTTGACCTTTTAGCATATGATATCTTTCATCAATTTTCTTGTAACGTAGTTTGTTGGCTGATTTTGATCTCACTGGGCTGATCCAGTCAGTCCTATCAATATAATGTATCGTCCCTAGCCGAACTATAGCAATCTTGTGAATGATGCTTATAATTAGTTGCACACTACATTTTAATGTGTAGTTTGTTCTGTCAACCCTTAACAACCGAAGATATTCTTGATATTTAGTAGTATCTTAATAATTCTAATCTTAAGTGAACAATACACTTAAGAGAAGTTCTTAAGATACACAAACAATCTGTTTTCAAGATTCAGTTTTGAATTTCTGTTAACATAAAGACAAACTGCTCTTTTAAGCTGAACATCTGTCATCTGTTTAGCTAAATATTGTGGTTGTACCCTATCAATTAATTCTCTTTTGCTTTACTTATTAAGCCAAAAGATGCTCTTTTCTTGTTCATTGCTGAAGTTAATTGCCATACCGAGATCTGTTATTACTTCCTCATTTGGTTGAATATACATGCTTTTTTAGGTCTTCATTTCTCAAAAAATCTTTATATCTCTGTCATCTTTATGGATTTGCAGTTGATCCACAGTTTTTTTTATTTTTAAATTTTTTGCATTTGAAAATGCTGCTACTAATGCATAAGGAAAGCCTCTCACCTCATTGGTTATTCAGTGAAATGCCCTTTCTAATCCTTTCTTTTATGTGTCAGTATTTTAAGCATGTCCACTGATCATTAACCAGTTAAAGATCTATGTTGGAGCTAAAGTCAAACAGGGGTCTTTTTCTCTTCATTTTGCTGTATCAAGCATCAATGTTACTGCTAATACTTATTCTTTATATTTTATGTCTTGTTGCATGAGTAACAATTATTAGTTAAATTTTAGATACACAGGTTTGGTTTTACTCTTGTGGTTCTGCAACTGTATTTTTCTGCTGACCATCTTAAGTACCTAATCTAGAGCAATAAATTTGCATATATTTCTGCTCTGCATCCTTTCTCATCTTTTGCTTACCCCTCTGGTGGCTTCTCGTACATGTTCTTGTGAAATATGAACTGTTCTGCCGCTTCTCTTCCACTTCTGTATCTCAATCAACAGAATTACTTAATTAAAGCACCAAAAGTTAGTCCTTGAGGGTGTTTTTTTCCCTTGTGTGTGCGAGTTTCTGATTGATTTCCCCCTTGTTTTGGTGTTGGTCTCTTGTTTGCAGGTGACTGATAACTACTACAGGCCAGATCTGACTAAAGCAGCTCTTGCACGGCTGAGTGTGGTGCATCGTAGCCTTAAGGTTGCCAAATCTGGTGCCAAGAAGAGGAACAGGCAGGCAGTTAAAGCAAGAAACTAGCTGTCCTTCAATTATTTTGGTTTGGTTCACGGAGTTTTTAACTGAAGAGCTTGTCAACCTGGATCTCACAACTTCTTTTTGTTATTGTTAATTTCACCAGAAGAATTTACACACTCTAGTTTTAATTAGATTGTGTGATGCTATTGCTGCTAGTAAGAATTTCCAATTCAATGTGCTACTACTGCTCATTCTTCTGAAACGAGGAGGAATGTTTCATCAAAGAGGCTAAATCTCTGTTGTAGTGCTGAGTTGCTTCTTTTGGGATATTCTTATCGTTAAAGCGTAACATACAGTCACCATTTTGTTCATAAAAATCTTCTTGCATTTTAATTTTCAGATTATTGGTTTGTCGAAGTCATTTATTCTTGGGTTACGTTTAATTAAGTTGATTGGTTAGTGCGCTCCAACGTGCATGACAAGCACGACGTAATTTATATATTAAGAAACAGTAATGCTTTCTAATGTCTTCTCAAAAGACACGATTAAATGTCATATCTAAAGAGGAGCAGTGGCTCCAACGACTTGATTCAAAATGGAATTCGATTTGGGTGCAACATCTTTCGCACTCAGAATTAGTCACAGCGGTTTTTCTTTTTGCAAATAAGAAAGAAAGGGCGATTTCCAAAAACATAAAATAAAATTTAATGTTCACTAATTCTCTTAGTTTTTCTCTCAGTTTAGTTTTTTTGTTTGTAAAAATAAAGATTTTGACCTTTTAGGCAAATGGTTCGGGTCAATACTATTTAAATGAGAAAAATCATATCAAAATGAGTCGATTAATTTTACTCTTTCCTCTACTGTTATTAGATTTTTTTTTTCTCTCCCTTTTCTCTCTTTATTTCTATTTTTTTGTCCTTGGCTTCTCTGGTAACGAGGAATTGCTCCTAAGTTCTTCCAGTGAAGAGTTTCCCATAAGGAATCCTTCGGTGGTCCATAATCTACTTGGGGTTAGGAAGATGATTTTGGGTAGTAGAACTGCCTTAGTGCCATATGCTAAAGGATGATTCGCCCGAGCTAGTCTCAAGAGTGGTGCTCATAATATACTCCGGAGCTTATTGACCCAAGTGTCTTTTACCCTAGTAATCCTCTTTTTTAATCCTTCAAGATTGACTCAATTGGTGACTTCAGTTAGGCCATTAGTTTAGGGGTGAGCTACCGAGCTAAACTTAAGCTGAATCTCGTAGGATCGACAGAACTCTTGGAATTTTATTTTGTTAAACTATGCTCCATTGTTGCTAACGAGGGCCATCAAAATTTTGAATTGGGTGATTATGTTTCTCTAGACAAATCCTTCCATCGGCTTCTTCGAGATCGACACCAAGGGCTCGACATCCACCTACTTCGTAAAGTAATCAAACCCCATGATGAGGAACCTTCGTTGGGTGGACATCGATGAAAAAGGTCCCAAGAGGTCTATTCCCTACTGGGTGAATTGCCAAGTACTATTAATTAGGCTCAAAGGGACCGCGAGTTGGTGTTGCACCCGAGCATACCTCTAGCACCTTTACATATAGTCGATCGTGTCCTTGCTCATAAAAGCTTTGTCGGAGAACCTTAAAGGCCAGAGTGCGCGCCCCGATATGCTCCGCATAGATGCCTTCATGAACCTTATTGCCTTAATGCTGTTGATAAGAGATCAACACTAGACTCTCCTTTTCCTCTCTTCCTATATTTTCACGGAACCACTTAGATTAATGGATTAGGGAGGTTGAGAGAGAAATCATAATATCTCAATTGTGTCCTCTATGAGATGTGTCATTTAGCCCCTGAAGGTCTTGTCTATTTATGGATTACAACAGATAGTCTAGAAAAAGTTATTAGGAGAGTTCCTTCTGTCCTCTAAAGAATCATACTTTAATATGAATTTTTTTTTTATTAATATCAATCATCAGAATCTAATTAATTCTATTATATATCTTATCCGATTATAAAGGATCATATAATCTAATAATTTATTCTTAGAATTATATATAGTTTATATATATAAACAATTAACTTCCACCTATAGAGAATTTGCTGACATTGCAGTCAGAAAATTTTCAGTTGTTGGCACACACCAAGTGCTCATAGTGTTTTTATGTTTTGTGAAATTTTAAGTATTCGATAATCGAACCATGCTGTTGTGGATTGTTGCAACTATAAGTTATATAATGGTTATGAAAGAAGGATTCATTTTCTTTTTTTTTCTTAATTTTTAACGATATATGGTTAATGGATTTCTTGCTATGTTGCAAATGCAGGTTGATGCCATCCAGCAGTGTGGCGGACAGAAGAGTGCTGATGGACAGCGTTTCCGCATGGGTGGTGGTATTTTGTGGAGTAATCTAAAAACTCGTGAACCAAAAGCACACAACAAAATCATGGCCAAAGAAAGAGAATTCGAGGTGCAGAAACATCGATGTTTATTCGCTTTATAAGTTAGCTTGCATATCCTTACTGGAGGTTTAAGCCAAATCAAACTGATAGATTGCCTGTTTGGGTTTGGGTTTCTCATGAAGCATCCAATTGGGAATTTCTAGACGCGGGACGATATTGATGATAAAAATAATAGAAGATAAGAATAATTATTGAAGAAGTTTTATTGAAGAAGATAAAAAATTTTATTGAAGAAATAAAAATGCTTCAATACATTAACATGTTCTCTCTTCTATTTATACAAATGAGGAGCAAAGATTTCCCTCAATAGAATAGAGAATTTTTCTCAACAAAATAAAGAGATTTCCTCGTATAGTTGGAGAAATCTTATCTTCTATCAATTGAATTTATATAATAGTTAGCTGCATTCGGTCCTTATCTAACTTTAAAGTGTATTTGTAATCCAATATTTAAAATATTCGATACCATTTAGGCATTGTCTTTAGATCCAAAAACGTATTGTCAATGTGCAAGGAGAATTAGACTCTATCTCTTTATCTTTTTATCGGCACTCTATCTCTTCTTATCTTTTTACAGGATCACTTAAATTGATGGTTTAGAAAGATTGAGAGAGAAACTTTTATGCTAGGTTAAATGACACATGTCCTCTATGACATACATCATTTAGCCCCTAGAGGTTATGGGAGAGCATAGATATATATCTATTATAAATTATTAGGATAAGTTATTACGAGAGTTCCTTCTTAGAATTCTATTATAATATATACTTCTTATGATAATATGCTATGATGATATGCTACAAGAGGGTGAGATAGTTTAGGAAAACTACTTCATCATGAGCAGGAAAGCGATAGCCAAATCTAATTCTTACTATCGTTTTTACTCGCTAATGTCTTTGGTACATATCTGATAAGGGATCATTTGATCGGTCGATCATTGCTGCCGTGGCCCGTAGGCTTGAGAGGAATTATCTGCTTTGGGCGATGAGCGTACCCGTACGATTTTTTCGAAGGTAAACTCCAAAAGATACTTCTGAGGGTAAGAAAGACCTGACGAACTTACGAGCCCTTAATTCTCATACTCCTCAACTAATGTGAGACTAAATAACCTTATCAATATCGATCCGGACGAAACCGCAAACAGTAATTTTTGATATATCTAAATAGTGTTTCATATTTGAAATATATTAAACAAAATTCATACTTAAATCAGTGACACAGCCACTTGATCCAATCTAATCTTAGTTCATGATAAACAATGATGATACCACTTATCTTTTATTATATTAATAAATGTAACCAATAATAATTCTCATAGATTACTTAATAGCGGTTTCGTACATATATATATTATATATCTTAATTTTATGTGGTGGGACGAGTATGCGTGGAGTAAAATTAGGCAGCAGATAAAACCAACCCTTCGGTCTTTTACTTGGTACGAAAACATAAGCCTCTTTCCTCGAACGAGGTACGGTCACGCGACCGGTACGCCTTGCCCATCCCCTCCTCGTCTTCGTGTTGCTCGGCTGCGGAGACCGATCGACGGATCCATGGAGCTAACCGCGAAATGGCGGAAGAAGCATCGTGGAGGAGGCGAAGATGGCATCGAGGACGACTCCCACCCCATCGACTCCCAAGGTTCGAGATTCCTTCGTCTAATTGCGCTCCATTTCCGTAGGCTTCTCCGTCGGGGTATCAAGATCGACTCGTTTCCGGTTTCTTTTTCCTGGTACAGATCAAGAGGAGATGGTTCGATCTTTCGAGAGGGAGCACGCTCGACAGAGTCGTCTGTGGAGGGTTTGTTTCATCTTTTCTAATTCTTCTTCCGGCCCTTCTTGAATCCCGCACCCTCGTTCCCTGTTCCCAAATTACGGTTCGTTTTTGGTTTGGGTTCTCGCAGCGTGTTTTCGCTGGATTTCTCCTCGGCTATACCGCGTTCATGGTCTACTCCATCTTCCAGCAAGCTTGGTATCCATGGGAACTGGTAACGACTAGTTTAATCTTGTTCCGCACGTTAGGATCTTTAAATCATTTTGTCGAGATGAAGAAATTCTCGTATGGCAATTAGCCTGTATAAGGGATATCATATCAGGTTTGGATGCTTAGAAAAAGAGGATGAATTTTCAACACTTAGATTTCAGTTTTTGAAAATTCAGTGTTACTTTTAGCTCATGCGATGTTTAACCATGTATAGTGTGCTTTGTTTAACCTTCCTCTATGGGTAATAGATTCAGTAGCAATCTTGTTTGTGAGGCATTTCTTGTTCATGTCTTTGGTGAATTTGTCCTAATCTTTCTGGACCTCTGTGAGGCACCCTTTAAATAACTTCTTTGACACAATGAACCTTGTGAATACCACCAAACATCTCAACCTCCGAAATATATTTTTTTCTTGCCCAGCCAACATTTGGAACTATTCAATCGGGTGGTTCTTGTGCTGAACGTTGACGTAACCTTTGCCTTATTTCTGCATAACTTTACTGGAATAACTTATGCCTCTTGAGTCTGTTTGCACTAGCATTCAGCATTCAATTTTGTTATTCAGTTCTTGACAATCCACTTCTGCTTATGAGCAGCGTTTTCATGCTTATTTCGTGGAAGAAATGCAAAGCTGGATGACCATATCTGCAGGTTTGTTTTTCTCTGCTTCTTGTTCTTTACTGGCGTTTAATGAATGATCTTAACTTCACAAATGAGTATCATTCATCCGTACACAGTTTCAATTCATTCTAGAATTTTGTCAGGATTAGGGACATCAAAGATACTATTTGATTATTTTGTGGCATACTAAAATATAAAATATTAAAAGGCAATTATGAAAACAACTATGCCTTTGGATCATAATTTTGAACAATTAGAAAACTACAATAT